GCTCTAGTGGAAGGAGCCCCTGCCCGTGGCAGGGGGTTGGGACTGTATGAGCTTTAAGGTCTCTTCCAACCCAAACCATTCTAAGATTTCCCATCTGGTACACAGCTAACTCTTCTTTACATTTTAGGATGTCATCGGTCAAGTTCTGCCAGATGCAACGACAACAGCATTTGAGTGTAAGTATGACTTGTATAAATTGTCTCCTTGGTCACATTATAGGGCTGTCATATTTTTAAATAAATAATACTTATGTTCATTATATCTTACAGTTAAATATTTATGCATTAATGCAAGTTTAATGATAATACTGAACTAAGCAATATTTTATTATTTAATCATATCTTGAATGAGCATATTTCTACAATGTAGCTTTACTTACCAGCATGACCTTACCCTGCTCGCACTCCTCACTGCAGTTATATTGCTCAAGTTAAATGAAAGGTATAAAGAACCTGTAGGTCTAAGGCTTTAAAATTTTAATCCTTCATTGGAAGAAACCAGAAGAGCAGCAGCTTTTCCAGAAATAGGATACAACAGACAGATTTGTACCAAATATAGTAGTGTTAGAAATTAATGTTTCCTTTCCCTGGAACAGAGGGCTGTGTTTTGCTGGAAGTAGGCTGTGGGCTTAGTTTCCTTTTCTCCTTCTGCTGTGCCTGAGCTAAAGGCACCATCTTCTGTCTCCTGTGTGAGAATGGGAGGTATTCAGCTTTGTCTCCTGGAGGAGGTGTGAGAGCTGCAGGATGACACCAGGTTAGATTGGGGCAGTAGGAATAACCTCTAAAAAGCCACGTGGTTCTGGTTGGGAACCTGGAAAACCAGCAGCTGTGTAGGATCAGAGGAAGCTGTAGGTTGGGGTTGTCCATAATGACACTTGCACCTCAGGAAGGGGGTTGTATCATGCTTTTGCTGAGTTAGGAGAGCTCTTGGTGAGTATGCTAGTGCAGATTTAGATGTGTATCTGCTAATACCTATTTCAGCTCTATTCTTTGAACCCTGTTTTGTTTTCTTTTTTGAAGGATTCCTGGGGGATTGTCCTGTCATGAGAGCAAGAAGTTGAAAAGGGGAGTCAAACATCTGTGTCTTAGGGGATAAGATACTGAGCTAGAGTTCTCTTGCAAGTGGAGAGGGCTCCTGCTATTCCCTTTTAATGCTTATTATATCTTTTTTCTATGTAACTCTGTGTTTTCCTTTGATAGAGATGAAATAGCAAGAAGGAGCTGGAGGGGATTAGAGGTGTTATATCAGTAAGGTAGTGATGCTGAAGGTGAGAGAGCAGATATGACAAGATAGGGCCTTGCATTCTTATTAGTATTTCTCCCCTCTTTAGAGATTTATGGGTAATTCTGTGTGTAGATAATCAAAGGAAATACTGTTTTTATGGTCCTTCAAGGCTTTTTATCTTTCTTTTCATATGTTTGTGTTTTCCCCTCCTAAATCTCCAGACACCTCAGAGTGGGGCTGATGTGTTATTTCTCTGTAGCTTTGACATTTCTCCTGCCCTGCTTTTTAAAACAAGACTTTGAGCAGGGACCTGAGCAAACCCAGGCTCCAGACCTTGCCAGGTTTTGTTATGATTTGTTAATATTTATTTTTCCCCCATACCTCCCACATCCCACATTAGCTTCCTTTGAACTTCATGCACCAGCAGCAGTCGCTGCAATCAGGGCAGTAGCCCATATTAATGGTACGATGTGTAGAACTTTCCTGGAAATACTTATTTCATTGTGTCTTCTAACATCTGCTTCTGTGCTTTCAGTTCATGTCTCTAGTCTGTCATTTACATCTGCACAAACCCATTTCCCCTGCCATTTAACTGGCATCTAAAATATGTTATGTATACTGATGCGTGATTTTCCTGGTTACTTTTTCCATATCAAATTCCTGGATTTCACCAGCTTAAGCTTTGTTCTCACCTGCTTCATTGCTTCTTCAAATGTGGGTAATTGCCATCCAGTGCAGGCTCCTCTGCTATGGGTTTAGTTATTGTTATCTTCAGTGTACCAGCCTTTGCAGCTCCTACCTGGGGCTGCACTTCTCCTCCTGTTGGACCTTGATGTGGATTTCACCGTTGCATTGCACAGCGCTACAAATAAAATCACTGACAACATATGGCCTGTTATGATCCTTTTATCCAAACTCTGCCATTTTGTATAGTTGTGACACACTGCAGATTTTGTGAAGATTGCTTCATAATATTTGTTTACCATCTGCTGCACTCTCTTTGGTATCTTGTGAGGATTTCTTCCTCCATTTTAAGTGACATTAGCAAAATCCAGCCAGTATGTAGGATTTTTTGGTTCTACTTTTGCTTCCCTAATGTGCTGGAAAATCATATTGCTGTGCTCTAGGCAAGTAGAGAAGCCTGGAAATCTTTCTGAACCCATGTGTCAGATCTAGCTCGGTTTTGGGCTGTGCCCATTTAAATGTCATGGTAGGAAAGCAAAGGATCTCTGCATGGAGGAGAGGTACATTTTCTTCTGGTATTGCTCTTTACAAGCATTGTGTGACAGTTTCAGGTTTGGCTTTTTGAATGCCAGGTAACATCTTGTGCCTTTTCATCTGCACAGTTTTAATGTATTCTCTTTGTATCACCATCAGGAATTCTGCCATTCTCAGAACTAGAGAGTTAATTTCTAAACCACTTGCAATGAATAATGTGTGATTTTTATAAATGTTTTGCAAGTGGCTCTGAGAGTTTTCCACTTCTTTCTTTGTCTTTTTTTGGTGGCCCCAGCTCAGTCTGTTCCCTCAAGCCAGGCCTGTTCAATGGCTTTTATCTCCATATATTCATCTCTCTGTGCCATGTTTCCCCTCTTCTGCATTTCACTCTGATCCCTTCTGGTTGATGCATGGCATTTGTTGTGTTCACTATTCCAACAGCTGCTTCTTCAGCCTTTCCCTCCTCGTTTACCCACTGCGGCTGGGACTTGGGTTCTGGCCAGGTAGCAGTTTTACAGCTCCTCCTCCTTGCTGCCTAAAACGTTTCCAGGCAAGGAAACATTCAGTTTCAACTCACTAACTCTTCTTAATCTTTTCATCATTCATGACTTGCTGCAGGCTACTAACCCTAGCAAGTACTTTTAGCAATCTGGCAGTTCACCAGTTAAATTTCCATGAGGCTCTTGAAGGACGTGGCTGTGCTGTCTTGTTCCAGTTCTAGCTCCCACATTTCCAGTGTCCCATAGCTCTCTTTCAGGACATTTAAAAAGTGTAATTCTGAGGTTTTTATGTTACTTTTTTCCTTCTTATTTGTCTCTTGTTTTGCTCTCTGTTCTGCATTGTTTTTCTCTTTTTCATTATAGCCTCAAAATTACCTGGTAGGTTTTCAGAGGCAAAATGAACAAACTCCTTTTTTGGGGTAATTGTAATTTGTTGGATCTCTTCCCTGATTCTTGTGCATAACCAGGAGCAAGAGTGAGTTTTCATCCAGGGACATAATGGCACTTTTTAATGCTGATGTGATATGCAGGGCTGTGATTGCAGAGAGCACATAGATCAGTTAGAGCATGTCTGTAGAGATGGGGACAGACTGACTGCCCCAGCCTCTGCTTGCACCCTGAGCTGGCCAGGAGCAGACCTAATGTGGAAATGCACTTGCTCACCTCCATGTCCTCGCCCTCTGATATTTAACAGGGGTTTGGAATATGATGTGTGTGTTGCTCCTTGATTTCCCAGTGCACGTTAGCTCAGGCAAAGGGCTTTTCTTTTGTTACCTTACAGCTTTCTGACTGGCTTGCCTGCACCTTGAATCACGGGCAGAACAGTTCTGCTCTCTCTGTCCTCATCCTGACGCACCATCAGTTTTTGGGAAGAGATGGATATCTCAGGCTTCAGGCCTGCATGGTTAGTTTCCCCACAATGGGAGTTTTCTGGGCAAAAAGGAATGTGAATTTGTTAGCCATTCTTTGGCTGTTTCATTGTTACTTTATTTTCAGAGCTTCTAATCCAAAGGGTAAAAACAAGTATAAAACTGGGCTGTGCACTGATGTGCTTTGGTTTTTGGTTTAGTTTTTAGTTTTTTAATAAGTATCTAAGGAAGATACTTAAATAGCAGCAGGCAAAAATTGGAGGCAGATCACAAACCCCTCCCTTCTCCCCCAAAGCTGAAGCAATAAAAAGAACTTGCTGTTTCATAGCTGATTTGGAGGGGAGGGCTCTGTTCCTTCATCTGGATGGGGTGCAGGTCTCCAGTCAGTGGAAGTGTGAGAGCTTCCCACGAGGAGCAGTGCAGGAGAGGGCGGGTGGACACTGCTGAAGGAACGTCACAGTGTGTCTCAGCAACTGCTGTCTGTGACACTGGAGTGTGTTGTTGCACCAGCTGGTGCTAATGGGGGGGATTGAGCCCCCTGGTAAATCTGCACCTGCTGAATCCACCATATGTCTTTGGAAGGTCTTTTCCTCCTTCAGATCTTCATATTAATAATTCTTCCTGAATGCTTTGCTCTGCTGGAGCCTCTCTGGATCTCTCTGCCTTTCCTCTGCTTCTGCCTCTGCAGCAGCCTCTTTCCTTACTGCAGAAGTGCTTTGTCTGTGTGTTTGTGGCCATGCCTGGGCCTTCATCATGAAACCATGATTGCCTGATAATGCTGCTCCTGCCTCCAGCCTCCCCTTCACCTACATCTGCCCAACGAACAAAACACAGACTTGTTTTGCTGGTTCACAAACTTCATCTGAACTTCTCTGTATAAACCTTGTGGATTAGTGTCCACTTAAAAGATACCATTTTTAAGCCGGCGTTGCTGTGTCATGAAGAAGCCAAGATTCCCGTGTGCGTGTGACAGGGATGGGGATAGAGGGCTGGGAAGATCTTGGCAGAGGGCAGGTGAGTTGAGGTTGGGTTGACAATAAGACCAGAAGCTTTTACGAGGAGAGAAACAATTTTATTTTAGTTTTATTTTGATTTCTGATGGAAAACCTGCCAAAACGTAATTCCATCTGGGAGGATTGAAGCATAACAAGAAACTTTGCTTCATGTTTGCTGTGTCAAAAGAATACCTTGGTGGGTTTCAGTGAGGGGTATTACAGCATACATAAGGTGCTTGGCTTCTGGAGAGGTTCTGGCACTAAAATAACTGTTGAGAGCAAAGTTTTGAGCACCTAAGGTAAAACCCTTACGTATTAAAATTGTGAATATCCTTCTTCCATTGCTCACGAATGTAATGCATTTCTTTGTTAGATGAAGATGAGGACGGTGACCGGATTACTGTTAGAAGCGATGAAGAAATGAAAGCCATGCTGTCCTATGTAGGTATAGTATAACAAATGCTGATATTTTCTATGTTTATCAGTTTCTGTTTGTGTATTTTTACTTGTATCCAAGTGTTAACATCAGCTGCAGTGCTCACAGGACAATATTCCTGTATTAAGTTAGAGTAAAATATTCTTGTATTAAATGTAGGTGTTTTAAAAACTGCAGCACATGAGATACATGGACAGGCTTGACTTTTTTTAGAAAAAAGAGACTTGTACACTTAATGATCATATCATAAACATTAAGAATAATGCATCTTAATGACTTTTGCATTAGGTATAGTGCAGGCTAAATGGACTATCAATTTCTTGTATTTTTTATGCAGTACTTAAAGTAACGGCTCATTAAAAATGAACCCCTGGGCTCTAAAAATTTTTCAAAATCTACTTTCATCTGGAGACTGTCTCACCCCTCCTCACAGAAGAGTTTCATTGTAGCTGCAGGCTCAATATTCAGAGAGGATTTAAAGACGTATTTCTGTTTTTTAATACAAGAGGGATGTGTCTGTGTGTGCCTTTAAAGACAGAGATGTGTGTAAAATCTGTCTAGATACCTATAAATATAAAATCTGTCTACAGGAATCAAGTATGCAGTTACTTCTTGAAACAGAATAATTTGAATGTAGCTTCGTGTTGCAGATATAAGTGAAAAAAAATCACCTGACGTTTCATTTCAAATGCAATTGATAAGCAAGAAAATAACAAATGGGTATTTTCTCTCCAAGCCAGATGGGCTGCTAGTTCCTTAGAAAATGCACTGTTTGTTATATTAATGGCCTTAACTTGGACCATATCAGAAACAAACTCAGTTTACTACCGTTTGTAGGTGGGACTTAATGACTTGATTCGTTCAGTCCTTCTCACCAGTTCCCCCTTGCAGAGGAAGCAGAGCAGGGACATGCTTGGATCACCTCCATCACACCCGAGCCTCTGCTTAATGGATCCCTCTTAGGCACATACTCTCTAGTCTTTGCCAGAACAATGTAGTTTTGTTGTTGTGAACTTAGCATGTAAATACATCAAACTTCATGAAGGAAGCTCGTGTTTTCTAGGCTCCAGGAAGGGCTCCTCCATGGAATTCTGATCATTCTGGTATCTGCAGGGTTGTACTATTTCTTGGTTTGCTCAGGCTTGGGTGGATGCTGGTTGACTGGAAGTCTGTTAGCAGACCCTGCTTCACAGAGACTTTAGTCATTGCCTCTGACTTAATCGTGGGGTCAGAGAAGTGCAGGTTCCAGATGCTGGTGATTGATCTCTGTGAAACTCCAGGGATTTATTAAATAAACCTCTCTCATGTGCAGTTTTCTTCCAGAGGAGGTGAAACCATTCTATTACAAGTTTGATATTAAAGAGCGTAAGACAGTTGTGTCAAAGAAAGGAAGAAAAATCTTGCTGCAGTCAAGGGGCTTTTGGCCTTGTTTGAGGTTTATTTTGTTCTGTTTCATACAGCTGGATCACTGGTGATGCTTCCCCACTGGAATTCCTGTGTTTCTTGATATTTCCCTGATAAAATGTCTGTCATTTTTGCTGTTAAACTGGAAAACTTGAGTTTTCCTGGCACAGTCTTAAGATTAATCATGCCTTTGTAAGGTCATCTTTTTGCTATGCTTCCAAGCTTACTGTTAAAGTTTCAGTACATTAGAGTTATGATTGCTCAACTCTCTGCTTTCCCTTAAAAATTATGGGATGTCTGTAAATGACTTCTTTCTGCTTCAGCAGCTTTTCTTCTCAGAAAATTTTCCCTTCAGTTTTAAACTAGTTTTCTGTTTGAGTGTTGCATTGATGGTTTAACTTTCTAACATTCTATAGGTGTCATCTGGGGCTATGTTTATAAGAAAACAAATGTTCTTACCCTGCAAGAAAAGGATTGAATTTACTGTAATCTTGAAGAATATACTGGGGAAATAAAAATACTAATTTTTGACTATTTTGAGGCCTGCAACAAATATTTGGAGGATTGAGCAGCTGCTGAAATATTTCTAGGAATTTTGACAGGGTGCAGTTTGCATCCAGTTCCAGTGTTCTCCTGAATGAAAGCAAAGGGGTTTATTTAAGTTTAATTCCCTGAGAATACAGATCTACTCCATGCAGGTGTGACACTGTCATTGGGGAAGATGTTTTGAATCACCTCTTATCCCTAAGCTTTTTGGTTTCTGAACTTGGCAGTAAGTTATTTCAGGCAGTTCTGGGGTTATTTTAGAGTATGCAGGAACACTTCGTGTTATATCAATGCAAACACTGTGGGATGGTGAATAAAGTCATTTTTGTGCTGTGCATTGTGGTTAATTACAGCCAGCCATTGAGTAGCTGTGGAGCTGCACTTTAGCTGTTGTCTTGTATCAGTATAAAAAGGCAGTAATTTTTTTGACAGGCACTGATTGGAAAGTTGCTCGCAGCTTTCTGGAAGCAAGGGGTACATGCTCTGGATCAATAACTGGCAAATTTTCCATTAAAAGGAATACCTGAACAATGTTCCAAATAGCCACTGGCATCTTAATTTTCCATGGAAACCTCAAATGCTCATGTGTGGAGGACAAGTCATTTTCAGACAATTTTTCCAGACTACTTGTTAACAGTTATTGCTGTCCCGAAAGGTTGACAGCTTACATGATTGATATTTCATTTACTTGTCATCACTGTTTGAGTAATGGAGAGGGCTGTGGTTTTTTCTTCCTCTCCCTCTATTTTTTTCTCTTTGGTAGAGAACAGTCTCCTATATGTTTAGTTTAGTTTGTTATTCTAGAGAAGATGTCATATGTGTTTATACTCTGTGTGTGTATATATATGTCTTAAGGTCATAGAATGCCACTAGTAAAATGGTAATAAAAAAGTTTGGTTTTCTGAAGCAGTTTTGGCTCCCAGCAGAGCAGGAAGTTCCTTCACAGCTCCATAACTGTTAGGTACCAGTGATACTTATTTATAAAGGGATGTGGAGATGTGGGGAAGGATTTGGTGTGTTACTCATGACCCCCGCCCCCCGATACAATATAAGTCTATGGGGTAGTCCTGACTCCTGCAAGTTGATTATTTCAAGAGTGAGCTTTTGGTATGAAGAGTTTTGCTCTTTGTAAGTACGTGTTTATTTAAGATGTGGATTTATATGTTTGTACAGTAAAAAGAATGAGATGCCCCCCTCAAAAACCTTGTGGTGAGATTTTAATGAGGGGAATGCTTTTAGCAGCACCACATCAGATGTACATGCAGGAGGTAGGGCTGGATGGATCCTTAAACTCTCAGCAGTTTTCTTCATTATAGGTTTTTAACAAAAGGAAATGTCTTCCTGTTTCTTGACACGAATGTGGAAAACAGAAGCACTGAAAACCTCTGCATATAAATTGACTTTGGTGTGCATTTAACATTTGCTTACTCCAGTCCATGTTTAATCCCATTCTAAGAGGAAAGTGTTTTGTAACACTAGCTAGTTAATAAACTTTTGTCTTATTTAAGTTGCATAAGGAAAAATGCTTGTGTTGCAGGAAGCCATCAGTGTGCGCGAAATACACGTGGCTTGTGTATTTCTGTGGCTTGATTCCACAGAGACTTAGAATGCTTTTTTTTCCTTGTTGACATCCATTCTTGCCAGTTTGAGTAACAGTATCACAAGCCGCTGGTAACAGTGACATGCTGAAGTCTTAGACCACACTCGGCTGGTGAGAATTAGCATGAAAGTCAGTGGAGCTGCACTGATTTATGCCATGAAGATCTGGCCCACAGCCAATGTGTTTGCTTCAAAAGATGTTTGGTGGTTGCAGAAGAAACGCGCTTTGTGATGTGCTTTCAACGCGTATAACACGTTGTGATGAGAGATGTGCAGGTTGTAGGCAGTAAACTGATAGCAAGGTCTGTCTCCTGCCCCGGGTTGTCTGGTTGTGATGTTAAATGTCCTGTCTGGTGAGTGTTCACCCCTTCTCGGGAGTGAAGGTCGATTAAAAAAGACTAATGGAGATTTCACTGTTTAGTCCAAATCTTTATTTAATCCCGCTCTTCTTCCTCAATTTCACGAGGATGCCATCCGATGAGAAGCCACTTCTCAGGCTTCCTCATACCACATTACATACTTTATGTCTTCTTGGGTCTTAATGTTCTCAGATACTTTTGCATCCCTTTTCATCCATTCTTCACCTTTCTTTACCAATAAACTTCCCCCTGGTCATTCCTGGCAGTTCCTGTAGAGTCCAAGGTCGCAGCATGTCGGCAGTGGCTTTCCATTGCCTGTGTTAGATGTGCACACTGAGGCGATGCATAGCATTTCTGCTTGTGTGGGATGTGGCCTCAACTGCCCTGACTGTGCTTCATCGCTGCCAGTTCTTGGATAATTTCCAGATCCCTTTTTGCCTCAGATTTTTCCTGATTGCACAGTTTCTGCTTATATTTACAGCATTTCTTTGTTTCCACGTTTGACTGGTTTTTCCCAGCTTCTCCAGGTGTGACAACTGCTGTGTTTGCTGTAAATGTTTCATTTGCTTGCTCATCTGAAGTATTCCCAGGTTTCAGGTGTGCCTGGAACTTGTGTAGTTGAGCCAAGAACAGATCCCTGGCTTGGAGTCAGTACTAATGCAGCCCCTGGGTTACCTTCCTCCCATACCACTTCATTGTGTGAGCATTGCAAATGGTAAGAAAGCATCCTAAAGGCTCATTTGTACTATGGCAATTTAAAAAAATTAAAATGCATTGAATTAAACAATCCATAAGAGCTCTTACTACATTTATACAAAACTGAGTAATCTCTTTCTTTAATCTCTTTGCAGTATTACTCCACTATAATGGAACAGCAAGTAAATGGACAGTTAATAGAGCCTCTACAGATATATCCAAGAGGTAATGCTGAACAAATTCTAATCAACAATGATGATATCAGTAAACCGTTTCATCAACAGTTATGTTTTTGGGGAGGTTTAAATGCACATAACATGATGTTTACCTCTTAATTTGGATAGAAGAATTCATTATTGTGGGGAGTGTAGTGAAAACTACATTTATTGCATGTAAAATAGCTAATTTACTGGAGTAAATTAGACTAACTAGCTTCAGTTTGCATAGGACATATTTAAGTACATTTAAAAACCTCAATGGTGATGGTTCTGCATGTATTCAAACCAAAGCAGATGAATAACTTTTTTGGGTTATTAAGAAAATGGGACTTTCTTAAGATCTTCTAGTATCATTGATCAGTTTAACAGACTGTCGTTGTTCACTTTGAAAATGGGAACATGTCAGCCACAGCAGCTCGATCCGTGACACATTTTAAGTGAGATTTGGGCACTTAAAAGTGGTATCCAAATGATCCCAAGTACTTTACATCTCTCCCTGTTCAGGAGGACTATTAGTCAGTTATGTGGGCTGAGGCAATTAAAAAATAGGTCATCTACATCCCAAACAAAAATCCGTAGGCAGCTGGTTTGTTTTTGGGGAATGCTCTAGCTATCTCTGAACTCCAATAATGGTTAAGGAAAGACTGATACGTTACATAACTCCACTGATTCATTCAGATGCTCTTTGAATCTGCTTCTTAATTGATGAAACAGGTTTAAATTCTCCAAGTAAATCTCCTAGCAATAAATTAATTGAAATAATTAAAAATGAAACTCTTCTCACTTAACTGATATTACACAAATAATCATACCATGAGTTTCCCAATTAAACATTCTTGACTTCCATTACTTACAACTCTCTGAAGTTTGAATTGGGCAATTAACCAACAGCCTTCTCAAACACATGCTAATAAGGTCTCCAAAGGAAGCTGGGTTCCCTGGTAGCTTAGTGTGCTCCTGTGGAACAGAGACCTGAATTCAAGGGGAATACAGAGATTATTCTTCCATGGCTCAGGCTGCAGGATCCCATTGAGGGGGGGACTCCCAGATACTTGAGCTGTGGGACTCCAGAGCTATCAGCAGTCAAGATGTGTTCTTGTGAGATGAGTACAAGGGCCACTGTGAAGAGGCAAGTTGCCTTCTGCCTCTTCCCAGGCTGAGATGTGAGGGTCTTACAGGGTTCTTAGAGAAAGGCTGAGACCTTTCTCTCTGTAGAAGAGACCTCTTCTGTAGAAGACCATTTAATTACTGATATACACCCTGTCTAAACCAACTGACCACCACGTGCAAGAAATAAACTGTGAGGCTTTCATGTGGCTTGGAGAAACTGATCTAGTGGGTGATCATAGTAGGTAGGGAACCCTTCTTGGAAATAGAAGGCAATTAGATATATTCCCCCTTAAGCAAGCAGTTCAAAGAAGTTGTGATAAGCTCAGTAGCTGCATGCCTCAGTGCTTAAAGGGACATTTGAAATTACAAAGCAGGCTTAACCTTCTTTTAAATTCTCCTTTTGGGTTGTTTCTGAGGAACCAGCCAAGTAGATTCCTACTCCTGCTCTTGTCTTCTTTCTCTATTTGCTTTACATCTGAGGATAATCTTCTTTGTACCGATTCAGAATTCATCTCCATGCTGTTGATACAATCCCTATGTATTATCTCCACGTTTTCACCATTGGCTCAACTATACACGTGTCTGCTGGGTATTTCCTTGTCAGTGGCTTGTCAGTAATTCTAAACTGTTTCAGAGCCGAGTTGCTGTTTCATCTTTCCAAATCACCTTCTTAAAACATCTTTTCTTTCTAGGTTACAGATTTAAAGCTACTCCCTTCGTACCCAGCCCGCCTCCAAGTTCTGTTGCTGCTCTTCTGCAGTATTGAACAAAATGCACTCTTCTGCATTGTTTTCTGTCTTGTCCTGCCTCTAATGAACATCCCAAATTCTGTTAGCACAAGCGCTTTTCTTCCATGCCCTTTTGGCCATGTCTCTCTATGTACTGCAGTTTAAAGCCCTATCAGTAATGTGCAGCTTTCTGCCTGTAATTGCAGGTTCTCCCTTCTTAGGAGCTTTCTTTGCAAGGCCAGTCTTCCTTTGAGTCCTTTTCCCTTTCTGCCCCTCTCACTTCCTCAGAAGCTTCCCAGTTGCTGTCTCCAGTCAGCTTCCAAGAACTTGTGCTTTCCATGGAGCCTGCCAGTAGCAATGGTCCATGTGCCATCCAGCATTACCTTGCCTGTGCTGTGTTCATTTGATAACTTAAATGTCTTTAAGGGGAAAAATTGGTATTTAGTGTATTTTTGTAAAGAAATGTATTGTTGCTGTCTAGGTAATAAGAGCCAGAGTTCTTTTTTTTATACTGAAAATAAACCTTCGTGTATGCATGTATAGAAATAAGAGTGTGTTTGCATACAGATATATACATATAATGTATATATATATCTCCTGTGATATGTATATATACATACAAATATATATATCCTGTCTATAATATCTATATAGAGAGAGATATCTATACCCTGTCTATGACATCTATATAGATAGATATATAGATATAGATATCCTGTGATATATATATCCCATGTGTGGAATTCAAGGTGAAGATACCATTCAGATATGTATCATAAAAAATACTATTCTTTCAATATCTTGCTCATAATGCTGATTTTAATCTATTGGAAAAAATATAATATGCTTATACGTGTATTTTAAATAGTTTTTTGTTTTCTGATTGATTTATTTTTTGATGCTCACAGTATCATAATATTTTTCTTCTTTAAGATGCACACAGTAATTTCTGATGCCATTTAAAGGCACGTGGCCTGGCCCTAACTGATGTGTTTAATAACTATCATCTGTGTCTTTCTGACTAATAAATAGTTCTGTTTCCTGCTGTCAAAAATTGAAGGGAAATGCACGTGCATCAGAGAAAGAGAAAAATCAAATTCATCCCTCCTCAGACAATCAATCAAAAGTGACAGGCCCTTTAACATACAATTTGTAGGGCACTGTAGTTTTAAAATGGGAACTGTCTGTAACATGTAGCTGGAAGCCTTTGTGGCTTTAACATTTGACAAAAGCACATCCACTGAACAGAAGAACAAGGCAATATACACTTGGAGAGACTTGAGGAAAATACTTTCTCCTCAAGCAGCAGGTCCCTCTCTAAATCCAAACGTCATCATAAGGTGCCACATTCCTACATCTGTGTCCGCAGTGCAGTATTTTGCATTACATTTATATTGCATTATATGATCTGGTTGCTGTTGCCCCTGTCATGTTTTTTTCCACATTGAAAACAAACTGTCTGTGTTTGACAATGTGACTAATTCATGATGTGTGGCAGCTGGGTCCTTTAAATGTATCTTGCAAATATTTCTGTTAAATGCCAGGGAAAAAAAAAAATACAGCATGTGAAAATATAGTGACATAAGATTTTAATTTGAATTACAAAAAGAATCTGATCATTTGAGCCAGCAGCCCTCTTGATTTTGATGTGTTTTAAGCAGAAATTAGAATTTATATTACACAGTGTCAGAAAGCTCTCAGCATTTATAAATGCTCACTCCTGCAAGTTAAAAATCCTGGTTCATAATTCCCACTCTGGGTCTTGTGAGGCACTTTTCAATCATTTCTCTCTGCTAATTTTGGTGTCACCCTCATTTCTTTTTAAAAGATTCATTTTGAGCAAATTTGTAAATGGCCCTGATGTGTTCTACAATTTAGTCAATTACTGTTTCAGCCTGCAAACCTCCCGGGAAACGGAACATACATGGCCTGAAGGTAGGAATTTCAATAATTGTTTCAGTAAAGTTAGATGGATTTGTAATGCTGTGTTCCACTTATTGAAATGTCAAATAAAACTGCACTTTCTTGAGCTCTGACAAGCAGATTTTTTTTTTTCCCTTTAATTTTTTTGTTGGTGAGGGTGGGAGAAGGATTCATTTTCTGAGTGTTGGCTGCAGGAGCTGTATATACAGTTTTGTTAGGAATGGAATTGCCTTTCTTGTTGTTTTTAACCTCTGCTAATAAGTGCCTACATTTTAATACTCAGTTTATCAACTAACGTCTGCTTCTACTTCAAAGCATTAAAAAAACCCCAATGTATTAATTTGATTTCAGTCATTTATCTAAGTGTGGAAGGCACAGCAGTGAAATTCTTTTAGGTGGTTTGATTTATTCAGGTATGCTTATTGCTTCTGTGATCATACCCATTTTGAAATGCAGAAGGCTACAGGTATATGAAATGACTGTTTAGGTTTTAAAATGAGAAGAAATGGTGGGCATATCCCTTTTTTTGTATTATTTAGCTAAGCCTTTAAGATGTAAAGATTATGTAGTGTGGTCCAGGAATTCTATAGCCTGCTAACCTACATAGAGGCAAGCCCTGAACCACCAGCAAGCCTAGCAACAAGCTAATTAACCTTCAGAGTGAAATGAGAAATTCATGGCAAATTACAGGTTAATTAGAATAGTGTCCTCTGAACATAACCGACTGATCAAGATCCTTTCCCTGCCTGCAGGTAAATACTCGAGCAGGGGCTGCTAATAATAGCAGCTCGGCCGTCTCGGATTCCCTTCCAAGCAATAGGTAAGAGTCAAGAACGGGAGCATATGGTTTGTTTTCTTTGCTTTTATTAAAACAAAATGGAACCTTGTGTGCAGAGGTACCAACAATAAGCTTGATGGTGAATAACTTTCTCAATATGACTACTGGGCACGCAGGAGTGGAGTGGGGAAGGTGAAATTGCCTTGATTCATGGATCTTGTTAGGCTCGGACTGCTGGTTCTTCACAAGTATTTTCTCCTGAAAGAAATAAGTCTTTGCTGAGTGTTTCAGGTGGCTTTGTCCTTTATAAAGCAGGGAAATACTGTCTGTGGGTGAGCTGATTCGGTTTACTTGATCTAATAATCACTGTCTGTGGCAAAGTCTGTGCGTTTAGGTCTTTGTTACTTACCTCACTCTAGGATTCTCTGATTTAAAAATTGATACCACATTCAGTAGGTTTATTGTGGACTGAGATATTTGAAAAACCTGAGCAGCTTAAGTGCCCTATTTCATACAGTTTCAGCAGAGTTTGGGAGTCCATCTCTCTTATCTTTTCTTTTAGATTCCAATCCTAATTTGAAACCCCAAATTAAGATCTTAAAATGTAAGAGAAAGTGTTTTTGTTTTTCCTAGAGATCTGTTCTTAAATACTGGAGCATAAATTCCCTGTCACTACATGAGCTGTTGCAGGCAGTCATTGTACTCAATACTGATGTTAAAACAAATAAGCAAAAAAACCCCTTATGTATTCTTAAAAGGAAATAAGAAGTCTGACTCCATCTTCTTCATATAAGAGCATATTTGAATGTGGGATAGAAATCCCTGGAGGTCCCTTTCAGCCTGTATTCTATTACTCTAATAAGCATATAATATTACATTTATCTGTGCATCAGCACATTAGCTCTCTCCTAGAGCATTTTGCAAAAGGAAATGGGCGGAAATGGTCAGGACCAAAGACCCATCAAACTGCGTTAGACCTGTTCAGGCACTGCAGTGTCGGTACCCGCTCTGGCAGACACCTGGAAGTGCTGCAGTGGTGGGACAGTCCCACAAAGCCCAGCTTCATGTGGTGGGAGTGATGTGATGTGGTTACCCATTGACAAGGAGGATGCCGCCCCATGTGGCTGGCAGCAGTGCTGGTGGTGTCCTGCTGTTGGTAGCCCCCTTCAACTGCCACTAAACCCAGTTTTGATGCTCCCTTTAGTGGCTTTGCTAATTGTAGAGGTAAAAAAAGAAAGCCAGTACCCTGTCAATCTCCTCTGGCAAAGTTTGCCCCATCCCTTGGGGATGATCCTGCTCAAGACTCCTTAAAGGCAGTAAATCTGAATGTCTCTATGAACTGCAGCTCTCCTCCCAAACTATCACACTGATGAACTAAATAAAGCTGCTTTCTGTTGGTGTGTGCTTTTGCTTTCAGTACTTCCTGTACTTTGAGCTTGTTCTTAAAGTGCATTGAAAATGAGGCTTCTAGAAGATTCTTGTCACCTTATTTGGTGGTTAATTGCCATTCCTTTTCCGAAACCTTCTGCACTACGAGTTTGGTTTTTGAAGTAATTGAAAGTCTCTCTTTGTTTCATGTTCACAAATTGTTAGTCATGAAAGATGACAAGATCAACTTATGTTTCCTTGGAAAACTTAATTTTTCTTTAAAGTAGTCGTGGGAACAAGAGGCCTATTAAAGAACAAAGCCACCAAATATGAAATCTGTGTTTTCACTGTTCTTGTTAATAATGATCTGTGATCAAGACACGTGCACATGCCTTTCAAGAATATATTATTTTGTACTTTTTAACTTCAGTAATAAGAGCAGAATGTCTCTTTGAGATTAAGTTTTGCAGACATATTGCTACCCAGGCAGGTTGTTGTGTTGTATGAACAAGGAACGGAGTTTGTCAGGAAAGGAGGTGAAGCAGTATTTTGTAAGTGGGTGGAAGCATTGAAGCCATTAATAGTTTTACCAGCAAAACACAGTGAGCTGATACTTGTGGTTTGTTCAAGTTCTGCTAGAAAAAAAATGTATGGGTCATTTTAAGTAATGTAAGACTACTGGCAGAGGGATAGTTTCTCCTGAAAAAGCCCAGGGACAGCAGCAGCAGGTTGACCTGGAATGGATGTACAAGAGGGGAGATTGAAATGAGCTCTGAGGCAGAAGTTCTTCCCTGTGAGGGTGCTGAGGCGCTGGCACAGGGTGCCCAGAGAAGCTGTGGCTGCCCCATCCCTGGCAGTGTTCAAGGCCAGGTTGGACACAGGGGCTTGGAGCAACCTGCTCTAGTGGAAGGTGTCCCTGCCTGTGTCAGGGGGTTGAAGCTGGATAAGCTTTAAGGTCTCTTCCAACCAAAACCTTTGTAGGATTCTGTGATACGAGTCTGTGACAATCTGGACTCACTCTCCTGAATTTAGGCATGACCCCGAGACGCCTAAATCAGAACGTACGCTGCCTGCTCACCGTGCTCCAGTCTATGGTCAGTTGAGGTGGTGAGTTAGCATCCACAGCACACAACTCTGCTGCAGATTTATAGAAGTTACTGAGGGATAATGCCTTCAGAGTTTTAGAACAAGATGGGGCACCTGAAAACTAGATGTGAACCCGATTTTCATGTTATTTCTTGAAATTTATGGTGTGTGAGGGTATATGTTTGTTGTTTGTTTTCTTTGAACCAGCATACAATAGGTTGTATCTCACAGGGCAGTACAGTCAGGTATCTAAACCAGTTTGTAAAGGTGAAAATACATAGAGTGGTTTTTTTAAATGTTCATTGCTTTCCATGTGTGCTGTCTGCAGTGTGAGGAGTAGCTATACTTGACCCTCAGTCAGCACTGCTGAAGTTAAACCTATTTGGAATATGTAACCATGAACTTAACCTGACAGCTTGTGGTTTCTCATGCTTTCACTTCATTTTATAAAGTGAAATGGCACAGTCATTTAAAATAATTGCCTCTCTCTTTTTTTTTTTTTCAGCTTAAAAAAGTCTTCTGCAGAGCTGAAGAAAATACTTGCAAATGGCCAGGTAGGTGCATTGAATTGAGCCTGGGCTACATGCATGTCTCGTTACTGCCTCGTTCTGCAGTGATTGGCATGCCACAAATAGGTGGAGAGATGCTTACTGCTCATTTAGCTGTAATGTGTTCTTTTAATACAGAACTGGAGGGACCATGAAAACCTTCATGATATGAATGAGTTATGTGTCCTGATTTACTTTGATTGGCATAGCAATTTGCTTCCCATTTCTCAAAATGTGCTAATCAGATTTAGCTCCAAATAGATTGAAGTACCTCACACATGTTGTGCTGCTGCCACAATTTCAGGGAAGAAAGTTAATCAATTTTGAATAACTAAGTCAACTGCTCACTTCGAATGACCTTCGTATTTTTTAGGGCAGTTGATACTTAAATATTTAGCAGGTTCTTGCAAGGAACTGCTTGCTACTATTTGCAGTCACCTTATATTGTAGCTTCTTAAAAAACGCAAAACACAAACTAAAGCAAAAAACCCCCCCAAAGTTGTGGGAAGCTGTCGTGTTGCTGCTTCTCCTGCTCCAGACATTCAGATTCTGGCACCCAGAAGTAAAAGGTTTAAAGTGACAATTGGTGGGCAAATGGATGTCCTGGACAAACATTTCGTACCAATTTTGAGCTGAGTATATGGGCAGGCTTGTGGTAATATAATGACATTAAATATACACCGTTAAATTAAACTACCTTTACAAGAACCCCAGATTCTTCAGCAGCACCAACATAAATATGTTTTAATGTTTGTCATAGTGAAAGCCCTTTGATAGCCTTGGAGGCAGCACCTGTCCGTTGCGATCAAGCTTGCCTATTAGGCTCTATTGACTGAGACATCTGTGTCACTGCAAATAAAAGACTCTTATTGATTTTCTTAACTGCTGTTCACTTCCCCTCCATGTTTCGAAGGCTGAAATCTTAATTATCTCAGATGCGTATTCAGTGCCTTCACACAATGACCTCTCCAAGCCTCATTGGCATTTCATGAATCAAGTAGTTGTAGTTGAGCATGTCAAGAAGATAAAGGCTGGTCTTCATGCTTGTCCTTCAGTATCACCTGTAACATTGTGGTCTAATAGATGAGAGTGCCCCTCTAAAATGTGAGCCGAGCAGCCCAGTGCTGCAGCCTTGCCTGTTTGGCACTGCATCCTTTGAATACAGCTTGGAAATGTATTTTAAAGCCTGACATGCAGACTGAGTTTCATATTCACAGATGCCTACCAGGTAGATTTGTTAATGTTTCAAAATTATGCCTATGCAATATGTTTCTCTGGATAAATTAAAATCCTGTAAATAGCAGCAGCATGCTTCTGAACCTTGAAAATCAAGTTGATAATTACTCCAATATTACTAATAGTTTTTGAAGTAGAATTACTGAATGTGAGTAAAAGGCATCTTTTTGTGATTGAGTCCATAAGCTGAATTTGGCATGTCATTTGTTCTCAGCAACAGAAATGAGTGTTTTCTGTGCCCTGCAATAGATTTACAGATTTCTTTCCTGTGTAGTAGAATTTTAGAAAGACATAAAGGAACTAAACCTCTTATTATGATATTTAAAAACGTTACTTAAACCCATTTAAAAAGACAAAGAAAAATAAGAAAATAGGAGGTAAGTTTTAACCCTACCTTTCAGTCCCCTTGCCCTGGCAGGAGCTGCACTGCTTTCTTTTGAGAGAAGATGCTTTTTGTGACGCTGCATTGTGTTCTGCAGAATTTGGTCACAGCTCTGTAACTGGACATAGGTCTCTAGTTGTAACTTTAACTTTTCCTCCTTCTGGGGGGAGTTAAGTCACACTCATCATTACTTAAGTATGGGTTGGGTTATTATTTTTTATTATTTTTTGGCAGTTTCTGCTTTCAGGCATTCATAATGATATTCCTGTAGTAGTTTCCATTTAGGTTTAATAAGGAATTCATATTAATCATTAAAAGAAGGGGACATGATTCTTCAAGATAATCAAATATTGACAGGTTAGAAATAGCTTTCTGCCTAGGTTCATTGATATAGGTGATGTGATATAAATATTTATTTCTTTTCTGTCACTCAGAGTAAATGCCACCAATTGATTCAGCATTGATATAGTGTCAACAGTTCATAAGAAACATTTGACTGGCTTGTGTTTTCCGATTAGTCTCTGCTCTATAAAGTGGGATTTACTAAATCTCTTCAATTGTCTGCTCATAGAGTGTGACTGCTTTCTGAAACCATTATTGCTTCAATTCGTAAAGCAAAGGCATGGCGATAGGACTTTGCCTCTGTCAGGCCTCTCCATATAAAATAAGGATTAATTGAGCATTTTGGTTTTAATGATTTACAAGAGATAGACACTGATTTCTTTCAAAACCAGCAGGTATAAGCAAGGGATGTTTTGTTTGCTGATCCGTAATTGAAGTCTCTTTCACTTTGTCATTAATTCCGTTACTATTGGCATCCAATCAAACTTGGGTTTGCAGGTTTAATATTCCAGCCCTTACTGTCGAGTTCATTGTTATTATGTTATCATTTTATGATTGAGAATCCAGTTTTCCCAGTAAAATAAATAAATCACCACATGTTTTTGGCATCTTTATTTGAGCCAGTAAATCACACTTTATCTCTCTGTCGGTTGCTGGCAGATACTTGCTCCACCCCGGGCTTCCTGTTTCACCCTGGGTTTCTGGTTGTTCTTTGTGCATAGAGACAAGAACTGGTGCTGGCCTGGCAGCGGGTGCAAGTAGTGCAGTGGCAGAGGATGGAGCTGCTCATAGCACTGTCTTTTAGGGACTGGTGTGAAGCAAATAACTCCTTTTACCAGTTAGCAAAAAGCAGGAGAAAAGAGAACACACTTTATGTCTCTGGTTCTGCTCAATTTGTTGCTTATAACTTGTGTAACTGCAAAAAATTCTTCTTTTTCCCCCTCCAAGAAGCAAAGATACAAGTTCATGGCTTTGTGGATTCATTTAATTTCTCTTAAGAGTTATGTTTAGAAGAACATTGCTGGGAATGTAGGAAAAAGATGTTTGTTGTTACGTCGAAGACTGGAGAATTAAAGTCCTCCAGCTTAGAAGAGCAGAACTCCTTAAACCCAGTGTGTGCTTTATATTAATGAGTACTGCAGTCTGAGAGAAATGATTTTTTAGGATCCAGTATAGATTCTTCACGTATTTTAAAACCCAGGAATTCTTGTTCCTCATTAGGTGTCTCTTTTTTCTCTCCTCTATTTGTATTTTCTGACTGATGCAATAAGCAAGAGCTCTCAGTACTAAACTAAATTTCATTTTCATCATAAACCTTGATACTTGAATGGGCAGTTTCATACCCTCTTAAGATATCTGGCCCCAGGTTTAAGTACAAATAGGTGATAATGTAGAGTCAGCTTCTGCTTTGAGGTATTTTGAAATTGTTCAGAATTTGGAGATTCTACCCTTGCTGGAAGAAATGCACAGTATTTCCTGTGTGAAACAAGGGTGCTGTTTATTCAGGTAGTGAAAGAAAAGAACACAGATTTCGGAGTTCAGCAGTTATGTCTTTGAAACATATTATTTAAAATCAATTAATATTCCATTTTTTGTTCCTAAGACATGCTGAGTATTGACTCTTTAGGGCATTTTACCATCACTTACTTGTTCCAGTTGAAGGAAGGTTCCTCTTCTCTTCACTGACATCGTATGAAAGGGGATGCTTAAATACGGCTTAGTAACTTGAGGGCACGTGTCCATATTGAACTTAAAAGCTGTTTCGGAAGGTGGATAAATACAGATAGTTGGCTTGTGGTGAGCTGTCACCATGGTACTTGTGGTACTTGAAATCACTGATTTGAAGCTATTTCAGATGTGCTTAACGTGATCTCTAATCACATCAGTGATTGTAGAGCAGACATATCGTATGGGGGGTTGATGCCTTTTAACACAAAAGTGACCGAGTCTGTAAGCAGCCGTGCCAACTCATGTGGAATGTTTAACCTGGTATCCCATAAAATATAAATAGTTACTAGAAATGAGTTAATGTTTCCTAGGAAAATCTCTCTTAATACAGGATTTGCCCAATCCTTTACAACTTCAGGCAATGAGGAAGATCTTTTTGGAATAGAAAATGCATATAGCCTGGAATTTATTCTGATGATATATCTCTTTTTTCAAGTATACACTTGCATTGCAAAAATGCTTTTAGTGTTTGGGTGGTTTTGTTTTTAGTAGGTGATTTACGTGGAAAATCAGAATAACTGTATTTGTACAGGAGAAGGTTGAACTGTAGTTTTACATTGGAATTGCTCATTCAATGCTATAATAAGCTTTTATAAAGGCAATATCAGAAAGATCCCAAATTCCAGTATTTGCAATGTACGGCGCTTATGTCGGGCTTCTGTTGAAGATCCAAGGATATCCTCATGTCTGGAGAGTTGTCCTGGCGAACAGAAAGATCGAGGCAAGCAATTAGTTGTGTATTTCAAGGAAAATGATCTTTATTGGAGAGCAGTTCAAGACTGTGTTTTCCAAAGATTTGCCTTTGTTAAAAGGCAGATAAATGAAGCACTGAGAAGCTTTCCTACTGCCAGAACTGTCACTCAATTAGTATCGGTTATGCTGATTCCAGAATAAATCATCAACTTTTTGAGCCATACTTAAGATGACAGTTTTCTGTTGGATTGTTTCCATTCACCTCCAACTTTGGCTTTGGTTATGTGCTGTTCTGGAGACCCTTTTCCTATCAGTATCTGTGACCTGACCCTCTTGAGCTATATTATATCATTCCATTTTGACACCTTTTATCAAACTTTAATGAAATGACCCAGGCAAACAAATTGTCATTAAACTTTCCATCACTTTGTCCCTTGGTATCGTCTTTTATAAATTGGACAGCAAATGTTGTATTGATCTTCTCGTTCTTGCAGCTGAACTTGAAATGACCCAGACTGCTTGTTGTTTATGGCCTAGAGTTGCTTTTCCTTGACATTTCCATCCACAGCATGACATCTCTTTTGTTTTTCTTTCTTTCTTGTGGAGATGAATGAACAAGACATACGGTATCGAGACATCCTCGGTCATGGCAATGGAGGCACAGTCTACAAGTGAGTGTGGAATTTCACTTAAAATTGTTGAAAATGGAATTTAAAAGCTTTGTTTATTTTTTTTGTTACCCTTCATATTTGTATTGAGATGTAGGTGGGCAGTGCTGCTATGAAGAAAAGATTATAAAATAAATTCTTAATAGGAACTTTTCAAGAATCCTCTTTCCATATTTACAAGGTATCTGCTCTTGGGTGCTGTGAGGGCTGGTGCATTTTTATTATCTTTTTAATACTTAGCTTTGAATCCCTCCTGGGTAACAAGTTAATGGTTCACAAGTGGAACTTGAAATGTCCTGAAGCATAATGAATTGCCTTCAGTATTTGCAATGCCATTATTCTTGCTGCTTTACCACGCCTTTTGCTAGCCCAGTACTGAGAATGACACCAGTGGGATGTGATGACACTGCTGCTCTGCCTTTCTCTAGCAATTCCAAATTAGTAAATAACCCCTTTTGCTGCTGCAGTGACTTCCCTCCCTCACGAGCAGCTTCACACATAAGCTGATGAATACATTAAATGATAAACTCCCCCAAATTTTGGGAGTGAAGCTTATACCCTGCAGCCAATATTAATTTTAATATTGTAAAGATTATAACAGCAGAGATATAGTTTTCTCGACAGGAGAGTCTTTCTCATGCATAGTGCAAAGTTTAAACTACATAATGTAATATCTGGTACTTAATAGTCTGCAGTGGTGTATGAAAAATATTCCACTAGGAATTAAGAAATCCACACTTTGTAAGAAAGCCCTGGGGGAGTAATAAAGGTTTCCTCCAGAGAGCTATTTACCATATACAGTAACCCAGCATCCCATTATGATTTTGTTTATACCTTAGACATTTTAACTTTGAGATTAACATTTTTTTTAGATGTTTTAAAAGCCATGGTGCATTTAGTATACTTTCTAATTGGCTGCCAACATGGCAAAACAACTCTCCTTGCAGAAGGTTTAATGAAAATGAACTTCCAGAACCTTAAAGGAGCAAATCCAGTTATTGAATGGACTCTTCAGAAATCAGGTTAGGTCAGATAGATGGAACATGGTTCAGACATCTCATTGATGTTCTCTTGTAGAAAGGTATTGCTAGACCAAGAAACTTGCAGAAACAGTATTGGTTTTGTACTTACAGTTTAATAATTGAAATAAAGTAAAATAGAATAGTAATAATAGTAATGAAAAGGAGAGAGGAGTAAAACCCAAGAGTTAAAAGCCCAAGTGATGCACAATACAACTGCTCTCCACCCACTGACTGATGCCCAGCCCATCTCAGAGCAGCAACCAGTGGCTCCTGGCCAGATCCCTCCAGTTGATATACTGAGCATGGCATTCTGTGCTATGGAATATCCAACTGTATTGATAGTAAGAAAGATTTGAGAGAGTGTGTTAAAATTTACACCTCAGTTAGTGACTTTGTGTTGTTTTCTGATCTGGAGAAGGTTGCTTCCCTTCCCTGTTTACTGATGGAAGCTCCAGGAGTGGAGGTAGGTGGGAGAAGTATCACAGAGGAGGCCACATGCTCTGGTCCCTGTGGAAAGCACTTGAGGCCCAGTTAGGAACAAGGAATGTCCCATGAAGTGAGGGAACCTTCATGTGTCTTTGTTACCCTGTTCTGGGTTATTTTCTTTAAAGAAGTAGCTGAAATAAGGAGCTAGCAATGCAAAACTATGAGCAGCGTAAGAATGGTTACACCAGGTCATACCAAAAGTCTCTCGCCTTCATCCTCTGTTTGATAGTGGCCAAAGTCTAAGGAATGTAATCCAGGGCAGGTGAACGTGGACTTTTCTAATGGGGTTGCACTGAGGATCTGCTGAATTTAATGTCTGTCAGCTTCTATCTGCCCTACTCGCAAGGAACATTCTGTGCTTGCTCTGTGTGCTTAGCATGTGCAATGAGAGAGTGCTTCTAGGTGCAGAAGGTATAAAAATATCTTAGTTTTCTCCCCACACCGGCTTTTAAGCTGTGCATTCCTCTCAGATCTTCCCAAATTTGTTTCTTGGTGCATTGGGTTGAAGAGTTGTACTAATTCACTCTTAGGTCCCTGAAGAGCTGCTGGCTGCTGTCATTGCAGGGAGTTGGCATTTACTGTGCTGTGATGATGTGCTTTGGACAAAGCACAGGCAGAACAAAGAGTCATGGAATCATTTGGGTGGGAAGGGACCTTAAAGTTCCAACCCCCTGCCACGCAGGAACACCTTCCACTACACCAGGTTAGGTTGCTCCAAGCCCTGTTCAACCTGGCCAGCAATCACCCCATTGTAAAAGGGAACCTGTTCTCTTTGCCAAAGGAGCATCTGAGCTACACAAGCCAAGAAGAAACTGCAAAGTGGAATACTTACAGGTAGCTGGATTGCTCTAGTCATAGATAGCAGCCCACATATATTTTATTCCAGTAAATCAATGAACATTTGTCAAATAAAATGAATTGCGAGCGTTTGGCCGGTTTCCTCTTGCAGCCGACCACGCTGTCGGCTCGGTGCAGGAGAGCCTGTGTGCGCTATTATTGATCTGAGCCTCAAGAACGAGCATGTCTACGTGGTATCTTTTCTTTCCCCCCTTTCTTCCTAGCTCTTTTTACTAAGTCATATTCATTATGGCAATGATATATGATCAGCATTCAGCAAACAAGAGAGCGTGGCGCAGGTCGCTGAGCAAAAATTTTCAGCCTCTCTTTCCACATGAATTAACTACTATTGAAATAGTTTATTGAGATTGAAGTATTGATCACTTTTCATGCTAACCTTGGCTTAAGGGGGGAGAGGGGAGGTGGTTTTGTTCTCTTTGGAAGACATTATGTTTAGTTAGAAAATGTATTTCATTTATTTGGGTTCTTTACAGCTGCAGCTGTTTCATTGCTTGGAGAAGAGGTATCTTAGCTTTATTTTTATGACAGTATAATTATACTTTAGAAATACACTTGATTACTGTGTGTAGCAAAATTGTTCCAGTATATTGGCTTGGCCAGTATTGCTATACAAACAACTTTTCAGTCAATTGAGTCTGGTAAAAAATCAATACTTTATAGCAATATTTCTAGTGAGAACTTGCTGAATCTCAATGTTTTTCCTGTTCTAAAGAAAAGGGATTGTAGTGTTGTTTGACTTCCTATTTTCCCTTACCTTTTGATAAGCTATTTTCTTAATTAAGGAGTAATAACAATTATGGAGTTAGGTACAGCAAAGCCAGTTACCCAATTCTGTGAATTTTTGGAAACTCAGCTGCCATCATGTCATGGAGCTCTGCACCTTTCCTGACAAGAAGGCCCTAAGACTGTTGCACTGGTAGATGTGTGACCTTCCAGCTCTGCAACAGGCTTTCTAATTGTTACCAGCTATCTTATAAAAGCTGGTGGGATGGAGAACACACAGTTGGGGCTGCTTCACAGCAGAAGAAAACCTCTGCGTAGCAGTGTGTCTGTTGTGTTTGCTTAAATTGCTGTTCTGGAAGAAATCATTCACTGGTAGGTCCAGAAGACATTGAAATGTGTGCTTCTGTGCTGCATCTTTTAGCTCCATCACTGGCTGCAGAGGTCCGAGAGGCTGTTTTTACAAGGTTGCTCCTCTTCAGTGAAGGAAGGTTAACGTTTTGGTTTGTAAGGGGATGTATATGCTTTGCCAGCCAGTCTCTGGAGTAGCTACATTAAATTATTTAGACCCCAGATCCTTAGTTGTGTATATTTTGAACCTAAATACCACAAAGTAGAGCTATTTATTTCTGGCAAGTAATTACTATGTGAAGTCTCTCACACAGCATATCTATAGTGTTACTATTTCCTTCCTTTATATACAAACAAAAAGATTATTTTTCTCTTATTTCATATTTTGTGTTATTGATTTGCAGTTGTAGCTTCTGAGACATGAGATATTCAAGGAACTCTGTTTCGGGGCTGGAATAGCCTTCTGCATGCCTGGGGTTCTTTCAAAATGCGTATGGTGTGTAGATCTCTGGGTTCTGTTAGAGTCTCCAGCAGCAGCAAGCTATAACCCTTTGTATAGTGAAATAAACATAAAGTCCCGATGATGCCCTAATTAATTTGTGAAGTTTCTAAGTATCTGGGAGAGAGGGAAGAAAAGGGGGAATCAGTTACCATCTTAGCAAAATGCTGCTAAACCAGACGGCTTCACTTTCAGTTGAGTAATTGGGAGAGAAGTGGCGGCTGCTGTTGTGTCCCGCCCAGCAGAATTGTATAGCAGGGAAATACGGATAAATACAGAAGCTTAATTTGTTTGAGCAATTTACTGGAGCAGTTCTGCTGTTCAGTTGAGTTGTACATTCCAGCATATGCCCGTTTCGTTATTCTCTATCTCAACCAACCTTGGGGTGCCCCATTAGCACATTAAACATAGTGTATGGCAAGACAGCTGGGAAGTTGCTCTCTCCTGCAAGACAGGCTGCAAACGGCGCCCTGCCAGCGTGTTGCACATCCTTGAACATCAGCAGGGAAAAGCATTGTCAGTTCTGGAGTGGGGAAGCTGGAGGGGATTTAGCTGTGTTGGAGAGTAAGGGAGGTGATCCAGTACCTAACGGGGCTACAACAAACCTGGAGAGGGGCTTTGGGTAAGGGCCTGTAGGGACAGGCCAAGGGGAATGGCTTTAACCTGCCAGAGGGGAGATTGGGATGAGCTCTTGAGTAGAAGCTCTTCCCTGTGAGGGTGCTGAGGCGCTGGCACAGGGTGCCCAGAGAAGCTGTGGCTGCCCCATCCCTGGCAGTGTTCAAGGCCAGGTTGGACACAGGGGCTTGGAGCAACCTGCTCTAGTGGAAGGTGTCCCTGCCCGTGGCAAGTTCTCACTACATTTCATACACATTGCTTGTCCCAGCCTGGTGCTTGATGCAGCTCTGAAGAAAGATGATACGGGCAGGTTCAATGTTTTGTTTGGTGCTAAAACAAATCTGTGGCCATGTGAAGTCTGAAAATGGCATCTCCCCTCGTTCCTGTGTTGCAATCGAGACATTTTCCTTTATTTCCCTTCCCAGACGACATTAATTTTCTGTTTCTCTTGT